GGGGGGGATTAAACACAATTAAAATGGAATTAATTCTAACTGTGTAGACAGTCGAGGATAAACAGTGGATTTTGTAGCTGTGTCATTGCCTGCAGCATGCATGCTGATGACCTCCCGCGGGGGCTTCTCTGTGATGGATGCTAGGTGTGGTTAAAGTCTCGGTGGATAAATTAAAAGCCACTGTGGGTCTCTTGCGTGGTGTGCTTTTCCCTTTTGGCATCGTATGTTCACGGCAGATACAAAAACAAACACAAGCTGGAACTAAAGTTACAGAAAAGCAGTGTTTTCTAACCGACACGATGCGCTGCGTTTTTATAGCGTTAGTAAATAACTCAACCAGCACTTTCATTTCCATAAATGAACAAATATTTGAGCTTTGTGTCACTGATATGCGCTTGTGTGTGAGCGGTGTCTGGACAGGTGGCAATCTGAAGGTTGGAGAGTCTAAGTAATGACTGGAGGGTTCGCCGGTTTCAAATCCCCAGATCATGTGGGACATGTGGATCAGAGAGGTGAACATATGTCGCCCTCCCGAGCCGCCACAACAACAAACGGTTGGCCCTTGAACGCAGCACTTAACCTCCGACTACTCCACTGGAGCTGCTCGCTGTCTGCCAGCGAAAGAGCGGCAACCAGATGTAGAAACGTTGTTCTTCCTCTTCTTTTTAAGGCCGCGGGGTCTATAAATATCTTCATTATTTATGGTTGAGTGGGAACTCTCCTCTTACAGGGAGCACTTTTGTATTCATGCAGTGGAAAAATAATCTGCAGAAAGAGACAAATTCTAAATGTTACACACCAGTGAGCTCTCACAATCCACTCAGAGAAAAGCTGAGCTGGCAAATGTTCAATTGTTTTTATTTGATGTGCAGTTTGCTAATGTCAGTCATGGATTAGCGTGGTGGGGGTTTCTGGCACAACCTGCCCTACGTCCAAGGTGCATGGAGAAGAAAACTCCAGCGACACTTCTAGTATAAAGAACCACTTTATGGCCTTCAGTCCTAATGTTTGAAACTATTTGCTACATCTAGCACTTTAGTTTTAAATCGCCAAACTGTCTCTGGACAATTTGAAAAATGTTTCTTTCTTCTCCCTCACAGTTCAGGCAACCATGGACGCCTTCAGCTCCAAGGACATGGCCTTGAGGGCGCAGAAGAAGATCCTCAGCTCCATGGCCACCAAAAGCTCCGTCCAAATGTTCATCGACGACACCACCAGCGAGATCCTGGACGACCTGTACCGCGTCTCCAAGGAGTACTCGGGCAATAAGTCGGAGGCCCAGAAGGTGATCAAAGACCTGATCAAGATCGCCGTGAAGATCGGCCTGCTGTTCAGGAACAACCGTTTCAGCACGGAGGAGCTGGGAGTGGCCACGGACTTTAAGAGGAAGCTGCACCAGGGGGCCATGACGGCCATCAGCTTCTACGAGGTGCGTTTCCACGTGAAATGAAAGTGCTTTTCTCTGACATGGATTAATCAATAAATAGATAAATCACATCGGGATAAGGACAACTGAGTCCTTTAAAACTGATGCGGTGAAAATAAACACCGATATAGTCTTTCTATTCTGTATTCAAGGGTCAACATGTACGCGGCTCAACATTGTCATCTAGTCATTTAAGTGCAACTATGCAAACAATTACTTAACGCCATGTTATTTCATTGGGAAACAAAACAACGTGGCAACGGCCGTAATCCAAGTTGGCGATGGCGAAACCGCTGAACTCAAGGTTTCAAAACATCCGTCCACAAAGCGATGGGTGTCACCACGATGACTGTAGACTACATGAAGCCATCGTGACATGAGATACGAGTTCCTCCTTCACTCTCACAAACTCCGTCGCTCTCTCACAGCCCCCAAGAGCTAACTAGCTAGCTAGCCCAGCTACCGCATCTACCGGCATCAAAACTGGAAGTCAACGGTAAAGTAACAAAACCCGCCTCTTGCTCGATTGGCTGGGCCAAGTGTGACATTGACGAATGGTGCGACTCCACACCTGCCACTAAACACTTAAGAATATTTAAACTTTTATGTCTCAAAACTTCCAGAAAAACTCCACTTTCCGATGAGGTCCTTAGTCAAATACAGATATCAGAGATGAATCTCATACTAATAACGTTCTTACATTATGTACCCCCCCCCCCCCCCCCCCCACCGCCGGCG